TAAGGTGATTTTCCAAAACCCTTCCTGAAAAACCGCTTGACATCTACCTGAGGGCTGTGATTCCTGTATACAGCTACATCACATGCATTTGGCTACACGACGGTGAAAACCCGATCTCGATAGCTCTCTGTATTCTCGAGTTATGCGAATCGTAATCGCCCACATTCTATTTTGAAATGGCAGTACTTACGGTTAAATTAGCCACAATGAATACTACTGTACCGACAATACTGCCAAGTGAATACACACCGTGAGACTATAAAAGAAAATCTAATTTCTGCCGTGTAGAAAAAACGGGCAGAAAAAGTAGCATTTTTTTCGATGAGTTAAGTTGCCTAACTACCATTCCATTTGAATCATAAAACAGAATGCCTTGTTTTACAAATAAATAAGTAGCAAAAAATATGAGTAACGATTGAAATACACCTAAAAAGGTTCAATATGAGATATTATTACAAATGCATAATCTGGTGAGTAGGACTTTTACCAGTGAAAGATTTAATCAAAAATAATATTGGCCTCAAACCGGAATTCATTGACAGCTTCCTTTACAAAAAAGGCATCACTTTTAGTGTAAAGAAGAGGATCATGCAGTTCCTATGCATGTCTGTTTTTCTATACCTGTATAGAACTGGTGTTACCAACAGATATTGAGCGGTGTATCGTTGCTCCAATACTCCATAGATGAATATTGGTAATGATGTAAAAAATATATTATAAAATGTTAAATAGGCAGCAGAATACCACGACCAGATCAACGTGAAATATCTACGTACAGATTATACACGACAATTCGTCAAATAATTTTACCGTCCAAACAATCGTAAAACTCGTTCAAAGCAAAAATCTTCAAGAAATATCATGAAGAAATTATTTCAACTACGAAATTGAAATGGTAGCTACAATCGGGAAAAACTTTCAATGTTTCTAGACGCAAAAGAATAAAGTAATCAGAAATAAGATTTGTAAAGTCCTTTCCTCGGACCCAGAAATCCCTCAGGCAAAACGAAGCAGCTCTCGGACAAATAAAAGAAGGATTTGAAGGAAACTCAGAGAAAAACGATGACATATCACTTGCGAATCATGCACACCACTGGCACATTTTGTTAGAAACACTTTTAGAAAACCGCAAGGTTTGTAAATTTTCTTTTGTAGAATCTTTATCAGTGGATGTGAAATAGCCTCAAAGACGGACATCCTGAAGTTTTCAGATCATTATAATGTACTTTGAATGAATGAATTTGTAATATCGGACGAAAACAGCAGATTGGTCGATTATGTTTCATACGGTTTCAAGGTAACCTCAAAAAGTCGCCAGGTATCAGTCCTGATGCTCTAAGATGAAATGTTGCTGGATTTATTTTTGAAAAACTATACTGGTTTTTCAGAGATCCACTCGAAGCCTTAATTTAGCAAAAGATTTACAAACTTGTTTTATTTACAAAAATATGTTCCCTGTTTTCCCCTATCGAACAGCGAATGCTATATGCGTGTATCTCTTTTCGTTGAAAAGTTGTTCAAAAAGTATCTCAAAACATTCCATTTTGAATGCAATATACTTTGAATAATGACTACTCTAGAATTTGTTTAACTACTATCTTCAACTCGTTCAACTTGTTCTTCGAGCATTTTCTAACAATCGATCGAACGGTAAAATCTCATAGGAGCAATGTTTACTTTTACCATGTTAGAGAATCCGGAAAACCCTTGATAATAAAGTTGAGTACAAATAAATAAAATATTTTTATAGAAAAAATATAAAATCATCGATGATAAACGTGTATAATTATAATGACCATGAACAAATAAAGCGCGATGAATAAAATGAAAACGAGCCAATGAATAATCAGCACACATGGCTGCTTGACATCCTTCTTTGCCCAGTAATCCTATGTGAAAACTTAATGTCTCTGATACTACTGTGTTTGTCATTGCGTATAGACCTACCTATTCCAACATGTGCTTCTTGAATCATAGACACATCATTGGCTCCATCACCTATAGCGCACGTCACCGATGCCGCTGGACTATGTTTGATCATCGAAACGATCTAAAATATTTCGAAAATGCTAATTGATTAGGGTATAATTCTCTATTGTGTGTTTACTTGTGCTTTCTGCAATGGTGATAGTCGACAACAAAGTACGGATTCACATTGCAAAACTAATGTACAAAATATTGGACGATAATCGTCACTATCCAAAACAAAGGCAAGCGAGGAGCCATCGATAACAAGATCGGTTTTCTTTAATAATTTTCTTAAAAACCAAAAATATGATCTGTTAAAAGAATACTTTTCTCCACTACAACTTACTCCGATTGATTGTCTAATATTGTTTTACATGTTTCTAAATTTGTACAATTGACTACTTGTAATAGTTTATGTTCCTGATTAAATACTTTCGATAAATATGCAATGTTAACAGTTGTTTCAACTCTATCACCCGTTAATATCCATACTTTAATGCCGCTTCGTCTTAATAAAGTTAACGTTTCTGGTACATATTGTTGGAGTCTATCTTCAACAGCAGTACAACCTAATAATTCCAGTTTTGATTCAATGTTATCAAACACGTCCTGAAGTTGTTTTTGACCGTTGACATTGAATGACTTTGAGTAGCCCGTTTGAATTCAGCACGAATACGTTGATAATCATTAGAGCTGATGATTCTGTACGCAACGGCTAATGTACGTAGACCAAGCTAAAGAAACAAATATGAAATTTAAGTTCAAATGTGAGTTTGTTTAACTTTAGCGTATAACGATATACGAGCCGTCGTGACTTCAAATGCGCCACTTGAACATAATGGTATTACCACCGAATCAGCTCGTTTTGTGAATAAATATATTAAACCTAAAACAAATCGATACGTATGAAGCTGTTTAATTATATCAATTAAACATTCGCTAACCTGTTTCTTTCTCTTTAACAAGTACACTCATACGTTTTCTAATAGTTGATAATATGTTGGTTTTTCAAATATATTTATTTGACGAATAATACCATCTGGTAATGTATCCTCTTTAGTAAATACCATTCCACAACTATAAAAACATAAAATTATCTTAAATCACTCTTGTAAATATCTAACTGTACCTTTTAGCAAATGATACAAGACAAAGTTCATCTGGTGACGATGCTTGATAATTTATACCATCTATTGTATCTTTAATAACAATTGTATTACATAGAGCCAAACATTTCAGAAATATCAAATAGTTTGACTGAAAAAAGAGATGGTACTATTTGTGAGAAATAAAAAGATTCGAGAATATCTATAATTATTACTGATGGATTATGTGAAAGTGATTGTACAATGAATTCTTGTGAATCATCTTGTCGAACGATTCTAACTGCTTCTCACTGACAATGCCAAATTCCATATCGGACACGTAACAAAATTTAAAACACATATCATTCTCAGTTAATGTATCAGTTTTATCAGAAAATAAATATTGAATCTAAATGACAAGATATTTTAATAGGAAGGATATGGTTTGTTTTGTTTAAGTATAGCTGTACACTAATGTACAAAGGTTCACCTGTCCTAAAAGAATAAACAAAAGATGACTAATGTGACATTAAACGATAAAATCATGTTTTAAATACCCAGATCTTCCATAATTTCACTGGAATTTGAATTTGCATGTTCATTTGTTTCTGGATGATACATATGAATATCCCATTTGAAAAACAATGAACCAAACACTTTTTGTAATTCTAATCAATAATAAAAACAATGATTTTCTTCACGTTACTTACATAAAATCCTTTGATCAGAATTTACCTACCTATAGTAACATACAAAGAAATTGGTATGAGATAATTGTATAATTGAAAAAAATACATTAAAACATAGTAGATTTTTATTAACTAGAACAAAAGAGAAAAATTTGTGAATTCCATCTGCTATATGTATGTGCGTTTAAATCGATGAACTATGATTGTTACCGTCGAAAATACACCTTCACTTTGGCTCAGCACTTTTGGAAATGGTGGTATATACCAGTGTTTATCTAATATGTGAGCATTTATGAAATAGAATATAGTGGACATTATACATATACAAATCATCAGTGCAATAAATGTGAATAAAAATTTATTTGCTTGTCTAAACAAAATAACAGCAATATGTTATATATAAAATCATGAATAATGATGATTATTTAGCGTAGCCAATCGCTCCGTATGTGATCGTTTCAGAGAGTTCCAATCATTTTGCCGTACCACTTTGATCGATTTATCTTCATACTCATTTGTCGTATATAGGTAGAAGAGCGAGAAATAGAGTGAATAACCACAGTATTGAGGCGTTGTATAGATTTAAAGTCATTATGACGAGCATAATGACTTTAAATCTATACAGCGAAAATACTCATTTGAGTCGACGGAAGTTTTCATGATTTTGTAGCTAATAGTTAAACTTAAATTCTTTTGCGGAAAAAAAATTCATATTTTTGTAAAGCATCTTGCTTCCCTATAGTGAACGTTTCATTATGAAAGCTTAAGACGCTAGAAAAAATTGGTTTTTAATGTCTGTAACATTTCATACTTTTGTATTCCATGGCAAAAACGATTCCAAGGTCGAGTAAAAATGCCAAAAAGAATATATCCAAAAAATAATTAATTTTAAAGTCAGACTCTTAGGAACATAATTTTGCCTTCTATTCAAACATTTAGAAAAGTGAAACAAGTTTTCTGAGCTATATTATTCTCAATACATATAACCCTTACGGGCATCCATCAAGGTAACACATATATCTAAAGCCAGATAAAATCCAATTTTTGAATTTTGCTTCAGTTAGAGAACTCGGTTGTCAAGTAACATCTATTATGGCCTCTTACAAATTTTATCCGCCCAAGTTGAAAATGAACTTGATAAAGGTTCAGAAACACTACAAAAGAATTTTTAAAAACACATGCTAAAATATTTCACATTTCAATTACATATACGATTTACTAAACAATAGCATTTCACACAAAGATCGAACACTCAACTAGATTCTTTTTGATAGGTACGTGAGACGGATAAATTTTTTGCAATATTTACAATCACATTTTAATAATTCTGATTGGCTTCCTTTAATTCACAAGAGTTTTTCAGAGTTCTTCGGAAAAAAGAAAATCTTTTTTGAATGAAACGTTGTGAACGTTGAGTTTAGTTTAGCCTGAAACTTGAGAACAACTCAGACATAGAGACGACAATCATCAAGAGAAAATTCTTTTGACAAATTCCAACAGCGCTGAGTAACATCATGCGAAAAGAATATAATATACTTAATTTTCTACACTAGAAAATTTCATGTGTTTCATTTTTGAAATCAACATCATTTTTGCTTCACTTCCCTGATAAACAGATACACCTAAAATGAATCTCATTTAAAATTCTCGTTGTTTTTTTAGTATACAATATACTTACCAATAACATATTTCGCTACTTTTAAACGTGACCCACGTAATAAGAGATTTTCTAGTGTTAAAAAACTAAAAGTAGATAGAATTGTGAAAGCTGCACGAATGAAGGATAAGTAGCAACTCACAGAAAAGTTCCTTCTCCTTTTTTATTATAAATACATCGTCCTTTAAATGAAAATAGATTGACTGTCGGCAATTCACATTCGATTATACCACGAAATTTAACTAAAGATTTTTTATCGGCGAAATTATAGGCAGCCTGAAGTGGTCGACGCATCTTAAGAGAAGAAAACTCGATGAATAATTCAAATCCTCCATGAATTGTATCGCTGCAAAGTGTATAATACTTGTTACCAGCGTTTCCGATAGTAGTTTTGGTGGGGAGGGTCGAGCCTGCTGAGTAACTAAAGTTTTTTTTATTGAGTAACGCATTTTTTGACTAAAATTTTTTCTGAGTAACTGAGTTACTCAGAAGCTAGAGAAAATCACTTACTCAGGTGCATAAAAGGCAGTTTCTCAACTTAAATTTCTTAAAATATTTGACTAAGTCAACATTTTTTGAGTAACTGTATCCAGACATGTGCGCTGATAAAAAAATTTCGGCGGCCGCGAATGAAACTTTTACCATAGGCGGCGGCGACGGCGCGAGGCTATGAAAATTTCCTGGACCTTCGGCGGCGGCGGCGCGAGGTTATGAAAACTTTCTCCGCCTTCGGCGACGGAATGTAAATATTAGTTATCGGCGGCGAATCTCATAATTTAAGTAAAACAACGTTCTCTTTCATTTCTGGCGCGTTCTTCGCGCCCTGACAGTATCTGTACGTTGCCGTATACGAAAAGATAGAAACGCACTGCACGCTAGATGCCTAAGGTAAGAACGTACTAACAAAAATAGTCAAAATTTTCTGCGCCCTCGGTGGCGACAAAAGTTCAACGACATGGCGGCGGCGAAAATCAGAACAGTTTTTCTCCGCTGTCAGCAGCAGCGGCGGAAGTCGCAATAATTTTTCTCCGACTTCAGCGGCGGCGGCGGCGCACATCTCTGACTGTATCCAAACGAGGGGGTGGTTTACCACCCTGTAATCGATAACGCTGCTTGCTACCTTAAATTCGTTTCTCCATCTAGGCTAGCTGTTGTAACACGGCAGTCGCCTCCCGGGCTTTCTGAATGTAACAGCACCATATCACATGGATAAATTCTTCACATTGGACTTTAATAATATCGCCAGGCTATAGAAACGCGATAAAAATAATATTTAAACGATAAATCGTATGTGTAAAGCTATAGCACTCACATACTGAGCAAACTCATACTCGAATATCTCTCCATAGTTTTGAAACATAACTATTCTGTTGAAATACATAAGTTCGTTGAGCATTTGCTTTGTTATCAGATATATGACGATAATAATCTTCATAAGCCTAGATTAACAAACATCAAAATAGTCTTCATGGTTTTAGAAAATTTTATGAATATTGAGATTTGAAACAATAAATTCCGTAAAGAAACTTTACAAAAGTTTAAACAATTAACAGATAGACGACATCAAAGTTTATTGTGTGAGATCATCCACAATGACTACTAACCGCTTTTAGTGCCGAAAAACACATGACAACAACTAAAGGAAAGATACTTGTGACAGGACTTGTTGTGTGATCTCGAACAGTGTACTAGAAGAATCAAAAAAGTAAAACAACACTAAAAAAAACGCATTAGACATACAGTGATAATAATTAATAGAAGAAAATAGGCATTTGCAATACGACGAAATTGTTCAAATAAATTAATTGGTAAAAATGTGAATATTGTGTACTAAAAGAAAACAATGAACGATAATAGTCGCTTTGCTTTAAAATAGTAAGCTTACTCTTGATGTTTTGATATGATTATCGGAATGACAAGGTTCCGGTTCATCCATCAATGCCAAATTTGGATGATGATTTACATAAATAATGCGAATAGGGTTCAAATCTGTTCCATCGTTCTAAAAGAAAATCCAATCTGTTTTATGTGCAATGCGAATATTTTTTCATTTTCTAATATAACTATTACAAATTTTGATCGAACATTGTTGGAAAACGAAATACAAGCACCCATAAGTTTTCCAACAGACTCGCTTTTGCTTATCTACAATAAACAGCATATTATGCCTATTGTTCAACTTTCTGCCGTAAGGATTCTATATTTATAATGCTATGCCTTTATATTATAATTCACGCAGCTATTACGCTATAAATCGAAAAGTTTTAATCCATAACACTCTATAAATGCAACTTTCAAGTCTAATTAAGTATGTCTCGTATACTAACGACATCTGTTGCATTTTGCTGTGGAATCGTCTTTAGGTATCAACGACCGATTTAGGATATATTCCTAAAAATCTCATTCTATTTCTATAAAATAGCGAGATAATGATGTGATTCCGATGCAGCACGGGTCTAGGCGACGGGCAAAATTTGACCTATTTATGGTAGCAAGAGCACAGTAATTCGTTCAAATTAAAATGGATTACATCTTTTATAATCATCAACCGGCTTTATATACTTTTTTTGTTGTCTATTGGAAAGTCAAACAAATAGAATCTTATCTATTTTCAAGTGACCATTTGTAATAAAAATAATCATTCATATGATTACATAATATTGATTGTTTGATCTGATTCGGTGATTTATTTTGCTTTTTACCAATATGGGTGCAAATACTTCATGTAAAGGAAAACAAGATGACAAGTAGGTCTAACGAAATGTTAATAATATGAACATAAGGCATTGACTCACATGCTTCTTGAGCTGTCTCGGTTTTGAAAGATTTTCCATTCGCATTGATCTGACATTTTATTATATTAGAATGACAGCCAACCTAGCTTTTTTTCTGTAATTTAGACCAATCGCAATTGCTATTCTTGGCTTAGACAACGCTGGTAAGTCGGACTGAAAGATTGTTTAAAAGCTTTTTATACTATAACAATTGTTTCTGTTCTGCAGGCAAAACTACAACAGTTAAAGTTCTCGAAGGAAGTATGTAACTTTTTTGGAAGTATGTAACAAATAGTTTAAGTTTGTTATTATTATCTTTTTGTCTGTTTTTAGAACCCAGTGACTCTGTGCCTCCAACTGTTGGTTATCAGCGGTCTAAAATTACTCATAAGAATTTGACAATAAATTTAGTTGATTTAGGTGAGTTATCAGAGAAAGGAAACTACTGATTAAGAAAAAATCGGTATATAATAACTGAATCAGAATCATGTTTATTCCTTTAAAGGCGGGGGAAAAGGATTCCGCAACGCTTGGCGACATTACTACGATGACTCATACGGATTCATTTATGTTGTTGATTCAAGTGAAATACAACGAATTGATGAGAATCGATCTGAATTAGAAAAACTACTACAGGAAGAGAAAGTCAAAGGCAAACCAGTGCTGATGTATGTAAGATGTTTGACATTAAAATGACGAAATAAAAGTATAAAATATGTTTTTGTTTAGATTAGCAAACAAACAAGATTTACCCGATGCTTTGGAAGAAAATGATATTTTGCGCAAGCTCAATATTGAAAAACTAGTCAATCAGAATAAAACCTTATGCAGAGTGGTAATTTTCATTCCATTACTCTTTGTTTGTGTATCATTTATCTACAATTAATTTCGGTCACGCTCCCGGTATAGGGTTTCCGATGTCCAGGGCTCTGAACAGAAGGCTAGCATGATGCCGAGCTCCTCGGACCCAATTACTTGAGCACACTCACTAACCACGTACTAACTTTCTGAAAAGTTACGTGAACCAGCCAGAGGAGCTATGTTGTACATTACAACATGGTGAGTATGCTATCGGACGGGTGATCTAAGACACTAAGACATAAGTAACTTGTCCAAGATTATTACGTGATCTGGCGACGCCGAGGTTCAAACACAGTACATTGGCAGTACATGCCGAACAACATAGCCACTAAGGCATACTGCCAAAAAATAGAAGAGCTTTCAAGTCTTAGAGGTTAATTTTAAAAGTAATGCCAATTCTGTATTCGTAATAAGTTTGAAAGAAACTACATTTGTTCACATACTAAGACGTTACTATTTTTTGTTTTTCTCATTTAGGAGTTATGCACAGCTAGATCTCTCGCTCAAGGAAAAAAAATGGATGAATCAGTTAAACATGGTTTTGACTGGTTGATTAAAACAATCTATGATCGATATGAAGACTTACATAGAAGAGTAGGCATCGACGTTCAAAAAAGACAAGAAAATGAAGAAAAAGAGAAAAAAGAACGAGCAGAACGAGTACAGAAAATTCGAGAAGAGTAAGTGTGAACAGATTTCATTGGCAATGTCATGTTAGTAGTTAGTTAATAACATCCAGTTTACATTGGATTTAACCTATGCCACTAGACCAATGTTTCGTGCTTCTTCTTTCTAGACGTGCGAAAGAAAAGGGCGAAGGGCCGGAAGATGATGATAGTACTTTTGATAAAGCAAAAGATCCGTATGTTCCAATACATCAAGCCGTTAAAAACGCTGAAGTAAGAAATTAAGACGCTCAACTTTAGTGATTAACCTTGTAATTTACTCGAAATAAATTTTTATTATGTAAAAATCTACCTACATTAGCTTTTATGTAATTTATATTTTTTGCTTTTGCTGATTGTCTATTTTTGTTTTGCATTACTTTGTCTTAAATTTTATTCTGGAAATAGAGTTTTCATCTTTGTTTGCCGTCTAAAAAACACATCAGTTAGTTCTATTGTAGTTGTACATTCGAACAACTTTAGGTTGTTGTAAGCTAATAGCTAGCACAACTTAACAGTTTTATTTATTTCAAATTAACATTTGTAGTTGCACGATTTCATGTGTTTGATGAAATAAATTTCAGTTCAGTTCAGTTCACAATTCATAGTAAAAATGAATTTAGTCGAAAAAATTTAACAAATGATTCATCGAATTAATCATAATGATCAGTAATTTAGCTGTAGAAAAAATAATTATTATTATAATTGGGTCTTCTATAGATACACGATAGTGATGATGATGTACTTTCGGACTGAAGACTCATCTTCATTTATCAATATCTACTCTGCAGGATCGATTGTCATACATTTCATTACGTGAAGATTCTTTTTTTTTCAGAATCCATTAGGTAAACCTCCAACAGGTCGTTCGAACAAACTCGATCCACTCATAGCAAAATCCAATGGTCATTCTACTCGTCAAATAACAAATAGTGAACGAAAACTAAGTGCTGAACATGCTACTATCCGTGATCGACGTCATAGTTCAAATTTAGATTTGTCTGATAATGAAAAACAACAGCAACACGATGGTAATGGTGATTACGAAACGAAAGCGATCACGAAAAAGAAGAAATTTATTGGCAAAAATAAGCTATATCCATCCACAGAAGATCTTTCTGAAACAAAATCATACCGCTCACTTTCAAATGGATCACTGGCAGCACCATGGGCAATAACAACGGGCAACATAGATAATCTTACATCTTCTAAACTAGAAAATGATCATCAAAAAACATAATGAAATCATATACTGTATTAGTCTACGATATACCTACAAGATGTTTTTTACGAATATAAATAATAGTACAATCAAAACTGCATGAAAAGACAAGGCTAAAGCCAACAAATGAAGATTCAACAGAAAATAGCAGTGATAAGATGTTTTAATTGTATTAATATATCCCTGTTTGTTTGCTTTAAATTAACGTTTTTATATTTCTTCTTGAAATACTCGTTGCTGATTTCACGTGAAATCTTTGTAATTTCATCAATTTTCTTTAAAACAGTTTCATGAAATATTATTGTTTTTTAACTGATGATGAGCAACATAAGCTATGGAAATTTTTGTTTATTGTACATTCATAAAGAGAAAATTACAAAGTGTTTTCGCATAGTTCTCCAATCTATGTGTTCAATATTATTTAAAAATCGCGCTTTTCTGAAAAGTCGCCATTTAATCGCAGTGTACCGGCGGCTATTTCACATATTGTGATTAAATAAAAGTGATTAAAAATTAAACGTTAATTATTTTTGCAATTTCTCGAAACATCGCTGACCAATCACAATTAGCTGCTGATTTTTGATTTTCTAGTCGTTCATCGGTCTATTTTGGAGCTGACCAAGTATATAATAAACATGACTTTCGACAGCAATTGTCTCTTTTTTCGGTTTAATCTTTTCTTTTACATTAATGTTTTTTGGGAGACGCGCCCAGAATGTTCTTCGTAAGCTTCTCAGAGCTGACTCGTTGTTTCGACAAGGACAACTTTTGAATCGAGGAGTTCAGTGAATAACTGGACTTTTGGGAGTGTCTCAAACAGATTACTCGGATGAAGTGTTCGAATAGTCGGCACTATCATAAGAAAGTCACTAAAGTACAAAACAATGAAAAAAAGTCAAAAAAAATATTCTCATAATCGGATTCGATCCTAGCATATCCTTTCTATAAAAAAAACTCGTCCGATTAGTCGCGACTGATCGCCAGAAGTCGCAAAAATATCGCCGACTAATCGCAACAAAGTATCAGAACAATCGAACGCCAAGTCACGAAAAAATCGCCGATTTTAAGCGATTAATCTCACATGGGAAGGCAAGCAACGAAACAACATTGACAATTTCTAAACAATGTTTTTAACAGAACACAAGAAAAACATATCGAGGAAAGACGCGTGCTATTAATCAATATTCATTTCATTCTGCCATCGAAGAAGCTAATTATATTCTACAAAAGTTTAAAGAAAAACATCTTCGTTTTTACATAAAAAAATCAAACTTAGTCTTAGATCGGTCTTTTACTGTCTTCGGTAATCGAAGTGTTGCTTTTCTGAAAATGGGATGAAACGAGGAGCACTCAGATTCTATAATGAGATTGAATCATGCGCACATTTTACTAAAAATATCCTTATTTCAATACGTTGTTCCTTATACAAGACAGAACAAAAATGAACTGATTAGATTTCCAGGCACCTATAAAAAATACGTTTTTTCAATATAATGTACTTTAATTTATATAGAGACTAGGCCAGGATTCCCGATCAGGACCCCCCCCTTCCTGGAAATTTTTTTAAACTTTCTCGCAAAATTTTTGACGTTTTTCTACCAGAAACTTTCTGCTAAAAATTTCGACAACTTTTTAGCCCCTCCCATCCCTAACCTAGACCGCCTGATCGGGAACCCTGGACTGGACAATATAAGTCATTCCCATGTGGTCGTCTGGTTGCGTTAAAAATTGGATGGATTGGAACATTTCTGATCGCTAGATGTCGTTCTTGAATTCTTTTCAGAGATCTTCAGCTGATTTGAAGATGCCGCTAATATTTTTTGTGCGTATATGGTTTAATTTAAATAATAATGCATAGTTGTAGAGGACAGCTTCCAAATCTTATTGGTGTATTAACTTCGTCGTGTTGAACACCCTCAATTTTAGCTTTGACTTAACTCAGACATAAGTGAGAAAAAGGTGTAGTCTGGGCAAGGTCTTTGCTTGTTTCCTCTGAATCACGACTGATAATTTTCTGATTCACAGACAGTCTATGTATTTTTTAATACACAAAGGGTTTAGAAACCACTAGAAAGTGAAAACTTTTTAGTTATAATTTCTATTTGTTTTACGCATAATTTTGCTGCATCAGAAAAGCGGCTTATAAATAAAAAAAGAGAATACAAAAATAGAAACATGCACTAATTTTTGCGAACTGATGTACTTTGGATACTGAACTATTTTTATTTATTTATTGCATCGTTTTCTTTTCTCAATACTAAAGTTTCATCAAGAGCATAACTTATATCAATCAGGAAAAGTCTCTGTTATGCCAACAACTCGATTTAGAAAAGACTTCAGTAGTTGAAAAGAATGCAGAATATTTACTATTTTAGACAATCTTTGTGATTAAAAATTAATATTATTTCCTATTTCCTAGATAAATACAAAGCTTTACAAAACTTATTAAAAAGTTCTGTTTAATTATCAGTCATGTCAAAACATTTTAGTGAAGAAGAACTCGACAACTTTCGTCAATGTTTCCAGTTATTTGCGCCACAAGGTTATGTTGATACACCTGATAAATTGAGTTTTATTATGCGATCATTAAAAATGGCACCGACCATTGTGGAATTAAAACGATATTTTCATAAATATAAAAAAGATTCAAATATTGTTGAATTTGATGATTTGTTAAAAATTGTCCTTGAACATCGTTCTGTTGAAAAATCCGCTCAAGAAATATTACAAGCATTTCAAAATTATGATCAACAACGATATGGTTATATTGATACAAAAGAATTACGTCGAATTTTAACGCAAACTGGAGAAAAATTAACAGATAAAGATGTTGATCTTATGTTACGTGAACTCAATGTTGGTAATGATGGTCGAGTATTTTACGAGAATCTGGTTCAAATGTTAACGCAACCGTTGCCAACTCGACGATAATTTATAAGATCATTATTAATGACTAAAATAATAATATGCATTCCATTTCTTTTACGCAATATTTTGATATTTTTTTGTTTTTTCTAAGCTAATTATGTACTAATTTCTCATAATGTAACAGATAAATAGACTCATTTTCGGTTGTTTCCCGCTAGCCGCCAATTTTTTCCATCAAAAATGGCCACCGTCTCATATATAAAAAACGAAAAGAACAAATTTGACTGATCAATTTTTTCAACGCTAGTTCGTTTTTAGTCTTTTCTTTTAAGAATTTATATTTTATATATGTTGTTGATGATAACATATGTAATAGCCTTTTTCAACATTCTTATTTTTCACGGCTGGCGGGAAACAACCCTCATTTTCTTTTTATTTATACTCGGGTTAAATAATCTCTTTTTTATCCATATAATGTATAAAGTGAAAATTGCTCAATTTTTCATTAAACAATGGACTTTGATTTACAGTTTAATCTAGCGTATCACTGTGTTCTGTAATGTTGTGGTCTTCAAAGTATTTTTCGTTCGCAGACGAAAGAATGTAGAAAAAATGTAGACACGCGATATTTTCTTTTCTTTTTAGACAGTACAGGGCTTTATTAAACACACATTAAAGCTTTACAGACCTTATTAAATCAGACAGAATGAATGTAATGGTATTAAGTATGTATTTTACTATCTATCAGAGTTGTAAGCCGTTTGATATCGTTTTATTACTTGTTTAGATGCCAATACAAGGCGGGATCAAGGAAAAAAAGCTCAATTTAGCAACATATATGCAGCAAAGGTAAAACAGATTGTTTCTTTAACTAACAATAAAAGTCTGTTTGTATATATTTTTTATCTCTTTTAGACAATCGCTGATACAATTCGAACATGTTTAGGGCCAAGAGCAATGTTGAAGGTAAATCTTTTATGTAATTCAAAAAGTTAGCTTTACAACTACTGCGCGAGATGTCCTGAATCAAGTAGATTGAGTTGCTCGTATAATGATAGATGTGCATGAATCAGTTAGTTTTCTTTTGAGCATCTCGATTTTTTATGGTTGAAATAGTTTATGAATTTTGTTAAGACTTTTGTTTTATTTTTTTGCGAATTTTAGATGGTGCTTGATCCTATGGGTGGAATAGTTTTAACAAATGACGGAAATGCTATCCTACGTGAAGTAAGTCATATCTGACCCAAAATGTTACTGTATATTTCATGTGTGTGCTGTTTATGTGCTAAGATTCAAGTTCAACATCCAGCTGGCAAGTCAATGATTGAAATAAGCCGCACACAAGACGAAGAAGTTGGAGATGGAACAACAAGCGTCATCATTTTAGGTAATATTTTTGTGTTTTTTTCAGCCTTACTTTCTATGATTACCTACAATTCTACTAACATTTCTTGTATATTTAGCTGGAGAAATATTAGCGCAAAGTGAGGCATTTTTGGAACAAGGTCTTCATGCTACAGTCATTATACGTGCGTACCGCAAAGCACTTGAAGATTGTATTGAAATTATGAAAACAAAAGCGAGGTAATATTTTTATTTATTTATGATTCTTAATTCTCTACATTGTCCTCTTAAATTTTCTAGTATCCCAATAGATATTAATAATCGTAATGAAATGTTACATGTTGTTAAAAGTTGTATCGGTACAAAATATATTTCAAGATGGTATGTTCTGATTCAATTAAATTGTTATTTAGTTCAAATCTGTTTCTGCTCTGCAGGAGTGATTTAGCTTGTCAAATAGCTCTTGATGCTGTTCAAACAATTGCAATTGACGAAAATGGTAGAAAAGAAATTGATATTAAACGTTATGCAAGATTTGAAAAAGTAAGCATAACGAAAAATCTTCTAACTGTTGTAGAACTGTTTCGAAACCTAGTAGAAAAATATTAGTAGATGACATAATGATCTGCCAAGTTGATCATTGTGAAATTTTAATTATTGTACATGACTTCTGTGTGATGGAAATAGGTAAAAGTTAGATGGTATAGTGCTGACAAACGATTAGTTGATTTAAAATCCGAGATTACTGTATCTTTTAAGTTTTAGTGTTTTGCTTATATTGATGCACTTTTTCTTTTCATTTCAAGATACCAGGAGGAGCCATTGAAGATTCATACTTATTGAAAGGATGTATGTTAAATAAAGACGTTGTGCATCCCAAAATGAAACGGTATGTATTCTGATATTAAGTTGATAAACAACAGTTTTGTATGACGGTGGGAGATGATTTTTAGAAGTTATTCTTTTTAAAAAGTCAGTGAAGATTTTTTTTAAACACATGAAACGTTTATTTGTGCACGCCTCATGATCTGACAGACAACTGGACTTTGAAAGACTGTCTACCAGTTATTCTGACTGCCTTTCTCTAACTTTTCTTTCAACACAATTGAGAATATATACGTCAGAGGTCAACGAAAAAATTCGGTGATTCGATCGTCAGTGGCGATTACCGAGCGCGGTTAAAGACAGAAAATGATTTTGATATTTTAAACTCGATTTTTTAAACAAGTCGACGAGTTTAAAATATCAAAATCATAAGGTGGAGAGGTCACACACTTCCTCAACCCTTATATGAAATTCTGATTAGCAGTGCTAAACTCGTTACTACATCGATTAGAATAGATGTAAAGGGGCTTTTAAGAAAATATCTAACTTTGTGCACTTCTACTGAAGCTTCGAAGCATATAAGATTTTGTTTTTATCTTGTTCATACTAGTCGTGTTGAGAATCCTCGTATTATTTTATTGGATTGTTCATTGGAATATAAAAAAGGCGAAAGTCAGACATCACTAGAATTTAATGCCGAACCAGACTTCACGTAAGTTCAATGAATTAGATTATTTTTTTATTCTCTACTAACTCTGTTTTTATCTAGTCGAATGTTACAATTAGAAGAAAAATATGTTCATGTCATGTGTCAAGAAATAATTGCGCATAAACCACACGTTGTTGTCACAGAAAAAGGCATTTCAGGTATTCTTTGTTCTTTCAAGCGGTAATATTTTTCAATATCAAACGTAATACTTTTTAGATGTTGCTGCTCATTATTTGGCAATGGCTGGTATATCAGCCGTTCGACGAACAAAAAAGTCAGATACTAACCGAATCGCAAGGTTTGTGCTCTTTTTGCCTATTATATTAAACTTAATTGCGCAAACGTCAAATTCTTGTAGTCATAAATAAAATAAGTGTTACAGCAGAGTTTAAGATTTTGGAGTCTATCTTTCTGGATATTTGTTCTTCTTTTCTTAGGGTTTGTGGTGCGCAAATTGTGAATGATACAGCAGATTTAAGAGATGAAGTTGTTGGTACAAGTTGTGGACTATTTGAAATAAGAAAGATTGGCGATGAGTATGTGTCTTCAACTCGTATATTCATTTTTTAGAAAGAATTGTCTTTTTTTTCTGTTTTCATAGATATTATACATTTTTCGATCAATGTAAGAATCCAAAAGCGTGTACGATTGTTTTACGTGGATCAAGTAAAGATGTATTAAATGAAATTGAAAGAAATTTTCATGATGCTATGAATGTTGCCAGAAATGTTATGTTAGAACCACGTTTAACACCGGGTGGTGGTGCAGTTGAAATGGCTATTGCAAGGTAAGAATTTCTATTATTATTATGTTTATTAACTAATTCACGAAGAATTTTTAAGTACAAAACAAGCATTTGGAAAAACTTGTTGTATATCTTCCTCAAATACACGATACTTTCTAGATGTTTAATATGATTATGTGCTTGCTCATGGAATACTAATAAAGAAAAAAGTATTTCATTATGTGTCGGTTTTTGTTCTTACTCTTTATAGATCGTTAGAAGAACGTTCCAACAGTGATAAATCCGATTTTTTCAAAGGTGTTGAAAAGTATCCATATAAATCTATACAACGTGCAATGGAAATCATACCGAGAACACTCATTCAAAATTGTGGTGGTAATATTATTAAACAATTAACATCCTTAAAAGCAAAACATGCACAATCGGAGGAAAATTTTTCATGGGGTGTCGATGGTGAAACTGGACAATTGGTCGATATGAAAAAATTAGGAATATGGGAACCAATTGCGGTTAAAATGCAAACAATTAAAACAGCTATCGAGGTAAGTTTAATAATAAAATAAATTACTTATTCTGTCAGTTCTACTTCGTTTTCTTTATGTAAAACACATTACGACGATCTTATAGCGAAAAACTACGTCTTCTCAGTGGTAGGGGATTTTTTCTCCAACATCATTACAATTTTTAATATTTATTTAGACGGCCATCTTGTTATTACGTATTGATGATATTGTATCCGGTACGAAAAAAGCGAGTACATTAACAGAAAGTGATTCAACATCTGCTAAAAAGAAGAAAGATGAAGAAGAAAAACCAACCGAAGAATCGCAAAAAGATTAAATGAACATAAATGAGTGATATGTTGAACTTTAGGCAAATTGTTGTTATACTTTTTCTACTATTATTAATACTGAAAAAAAAAATGTTAGTGTTTGTTATTGCTGTTATTGTTGTGTGAGTGGTTATATGTTTTAATACCGTTGAAACTTTTTGTAATACTTCGCAGTTTTTTATTTGTATTAAAAAGAATGTTTGATCAAATCAAAATCAGTTATAATTCAAAAAAGGTATTAAGTATTTTTTTGAATAACTACTGTTAGGTTTGTATAATCTCACAGTTTTGTTATGTATGAATTTAAAAGAGTAAAAAATGTTATTCTTTCATAGATATCGGGTTATCAGGCATGTCCTCTGAAATACTGATTTTGTAAAAAGACATCTAATGATCCTTAAAAAGTTTGTAAAAAAACGCCAGCTGATTGAAATAAAATACTCATATTTGGCTATCGTTAGTATTGTATATGATTAATTTGAGTTTTTAGTAGAAAAAAACTCTGATTTAATTAGCGAGAGTCATTTACAGATGGAAGAAAACTGCAATATAATTCTATTATTTAGTGATATTTAACTTCAAATTCCGTTATCATTTATTGTCGCACTATTTGTAGAGTAACATATGGAAAACAAATATTCATTTTGAACCATCGAACGTTTAAATCATTGTTGACATCCATTGATAGTCAGATGAAGATTATTTTTAATCGTTTCTCGCTGAAGTATTTTCTTCAATAATCAATATTCAAATAGCTTTACTCCATCGAATGCTTCGACTATTATGATTTCAAATTTCTTAACGACATCTCAAGCAAAAAACTGAGTTTTCTTTTGAGAACTTCATTTTTCGTTAAATCCACTCACATGTAGTTTGAACTCTTTACTTTCACAAGTCTGTATTACTTTCTACACTACAAGTGCGTTTTGAAAGTTTTCATGAGGTTCGAAGACTGTTTCTAAAAATGACGCTGTTGCGAATAAAACAGGAGGATCTATCCTGTGGGATGTTTGAGGCGCAATGCCTCAAACAAACGTAAGATGGTACGCCTTTTTGCTGCAGAGATTAATTTCTCAAGTGGTACACTGAGAGATCGAACCTTCGAGGTGGCACAAAATGCCTCAAATATTCAGCTGGGGATAGACGCCGCTGGAAAAAAACATGTCATTATTTGTTTTTCTGAAATGTCTGGTATGCAGGACAATATATTCTCAGCAAACAAGACCTAATACAGCTGTGGATAACTTTCTAGTAAAACGTTGCAAGGACTCTTATATGAATTCTAAAAATGCATCAATAAACGCGTAATATTTCTTCTCATGCTGGTATTAGCGTCACTCTCGCTTATGAGGGAACCTTTCGAGATGTCCCCTTCCAATTCCAGTGATTTGTACATGAATCGATAGATCTCAGTGAGGTAGTAAATACCCTAAAAGGATTCGTGCCCATGACTCTTGAAGACTCTGTTTACTGGAAAACCAGTTTTTCAAGAACTCTGAAAAATAACCTTTCTTCATGAGGCATGATTGTAGTTCGCAAATTTCGGATTAAAATGTGACATCCCAGCTCTACACGATCTTTCTTTGCAAAGTTCTAGAATTCACAAGAAAAGCCCTAAAAATTAATTTCTTATTTCTGTAGCTTTGAGCTGACAATGAACATTTAGGGCTTTTCTTGTAAATTCTATAACTTTACAAAGAAAGATCGTGTAGAGCTGGGATGTCTCATTTTAATCCGAAATCTGCGAGCTACAATCATGCCTCATTAAGAAAGGTTCTGGTTACTTTTTAGGAGTTCCTGAAAAACTGGTTTTCCAAAAATCGAGTCTTCAGAAGTAATGGCACGAATCCTTTTAGGGTATTTACTAACTCATTGAGATCTATCGATCCATGTAGAAATCATTAGAATCGGAAGGGAACATCTCGAAAGGTTCCGTCGTAAGTGAGATACACTTTCATCAAGAACAATACATCGTATTCTCAACAGTTTTTCGTTATGACGATGAAAGTACTAGATGTAACGCGAAAATTTTTGGAATTTGTTCGCGTGCTTGAGAAAATTGTTGATCTCTCTAAGATTAAAAAGCAGTCTGATTTTTTCAACGTGAAATCAGCAGCAACAAGTAATGGAAAGGAAATTCAAAAATGAACACTGTCAAATTTTAGATTTAGATGTGTAGTTCAGTTTTCAACAAATCCGATCTTTAGAACGAAAGATATTTGATTCCCAAGAGTTTTCTTCGAATCAAATACAAGAAAAAAGATTTCATGGAAGAGGAGCGGTGGTTGTTCAAGCGGTCACCGTCTGATGTTGAATGTTATGTTTATGATGTGCTGAAGGGAAAACGACTTTGTTCCTTGACGAAACTTGACAAACAATATAGTATCTGAATTTAAGAGAGAGTTGTAGATATGAGTATCGATCGATCACATTTTCATTCGAAAAAAGCTGTATGAAAATACCCATAATGTCTCAATTTTATGAAAACTATTTTTTTACAATAAAACTTCTCATAGATCTCTTGTTCACCAACTTCATTTTGACTAATGATTAGAGGAGTACAATGATGTATCACTTGAAACGCAGTATTCATTCTTCCTTTCGTCTTCTATCAAACTTTAGTTTGATTTTCACTGATATAATCTTGAGGAACAAGAAATTGAAACTCAAACTTCACATTTTGCTATGGAATAATTTGTTAAGCATAGCGATTATTAACGTAGAATTACTACTAAAATGGTATGATTTTTCAAAATAGACTCAGTATAAAGAAAAAAACAGAGCAAAAAAAGTCAAACAAAAAAATAGCACAGATTACAGATTTCATAAAAAAACTTGTAATGGAATCAACAAACATAAAAAATATAGAAGCTCGTAGGTGATATATCTAAATACAAAAAACGTTTAGATAAAATCCTCAATACTCTGTTTTTTCTGATAATAAATCTAAACATCAGTTTGGAACTACATTCTCACCGTATTTGAACAGATAGAAATTACTATAATCAGCTCGTTACAGTAGACCCCATTCCTTCATCTTTTTTATCTACTGTAATCGGGTCAAGCTTGCTAGCACTCTACTAATAACCTAGCATCGCGTAAATGATATTATTATACACATGTCAAACATTAATACATAAACTACAAAATTGTGCATGTACGAGATTTCATATTATTCGTCCTATTTGGGGTTATAGTGTGTTCTTGCATTTGTGTTGTCTTCGGCGGCGACGTTCGATGATATTTTTCATAAAGTATTTGTGATATATCTTGAAAACGTAACTCTAAATCGATAAATTCTTCTGCTAGTATCGGACTTTGGTGTTTATTCATTCATTTGCAAACATAAGTGATAGTGTCTGATTGAGTTTTTAAATCACTAAGCAAGATGTAGTATCTGGAGTTAAGCGATTCAAACTATATAAAACAGACCATAGGTAATGAAAAAAAATGAAATAATTGTACGGCGTTAACTCATGTTTTTTCTAAGTAGTACAGTCAGTAGTCTTGGATATAGGGATCTTAACATATATGCCTTCTCGAGACGCATAGTGTGTAGAGTACTGAAAAATGCTCTTGTTTTGTTTAATTTTCTTCAAGCCTGCCTAAGGTGGTTTGGAAAAGTATTTTTGTGTTTTTCACTACGAAACTGAGAGTTTTTCTTGCGTTCTTCATGCTTTTCATGGAGATCTTCTCACAATCTGGATTTCTTAGGGATAGTTGTGCTTCTGTTATACTGAAGAACTCAAAATGATGATCACAGTGATCTGAAAGCTTCAGAAGATATTTAATCTGGATTGCTCAACGTATGATTTAACATTAAGTGTATCTTTTGAAATTGCCAGTACACTGCAATCGATTCGGGCGCATTTATTTTTGCACACGCTCGCGGCTATAGACTGTAGTCCACTTCGGCTACTTATACTCTAACTTCAAAAGATTGTCATCTTTCTCTTTCTTTCTCGAACTCTTTCGACCGTGGTTGAGATTGGCAAATACAGTATTTTCTGTAGCGTTAGTAATACTTTGGTGACGGAAGAACGAATCATAAATAGAAAAACATCCGCAAATATGGATTTTCCCTTGGATTTTCATAAAACTTATATCCATTTATTGCGTCTTCCATTGCAAAAAGAGTACAGAAATTAAGCGGTACGGGAAAGTACAAAAGCGTTAGTAGTCGATAAGTACCTAGGAATAAGGTTTGAGTTCTTGAGTATCGATGACTCAAGTATAATTTTTGAGCTACTGAACACAAACGTTTTAGTACTTCTACTAGGGTGGACTAGCAAGAAAAACTATTGATTTGAAAAAAAGAAAATTTTTCATCCGTATTTGTTATCAGTTGGAGTTTCATTTTAGAGGAAATCACTAAGAAAGACCATGCTGACTCCTCCATCACTTCATTAAGATGTCGAAACGCGGCACCACCAAAAATTATCACCAAGTCACTAGCTTCGACGCGTTTTAACTTTGGCGGTAGCGATTTGGTGATGATTTTTGATGATACCGGGTTTGGACATCCATTAAGATTGAATCTAAGCTGCCATCATTATTCCTACATATTTCTATGGCAAATTTCTCTTCACAATAAAGTAGTTCTAAAATTTTGTTGCGATTTTAAAAAATTGTTAACTAACATTACACACTGCTAAGAATATGAGAGGAACTGAGGGATTAGAAAAATATGGTTTTTAAAATAAGCAGACATGACACGTATTTATTCAGAAAATTAAGAGAGAAAATAAATGAAAGCTATATACAACTAGATTGTATATAGCTAAAAATTTAGTTACAGATTTGAGAGGCTGATTAGGCACCATTTATTGTATGTTTTACTGGCCAATAGAGAACATCGACTGCTATGAATGATGAACACACTATATGATATATGTATATGTACTATTTATTCTCTTTATTGTTTGATGTTGTTGATTTCTTTGTTTGTGAGCGGACTGAATCGGTTAGAAGGAGAGTACTCTAAATCAAAGGCATACAATAGTGCAATAGAATTTTGCTTTTGTTCTCTCCTCTACACCGTTTCTAATGAGACTTGTATTGTACTGAAAGTTTAAATAACCACTTTGATAATCTGGAAGCGACACTTTCCACTTTGCTTCAAAAACGCAAAGTAGATAAAGTAATTTCATTTGTATAAATACAAAGTGTACATCTGACTGTAAAAGAAACTTATTCTTGATAAGGAAATTATGGAAACCAAATATGATCATGTTTTAAATAGAGCGCTGATTCAACGAGAATGTAATAGTGAAGTGTACTACTGTGATATTCGGATCGCCATCGTCTTTGAACATCTTTATAGGAAGTAAAAATGGTTCCCGCTGGTAAAGTTGACCAATATCCAACGGCTGTCATCAATTTGTGAAACTGCCTACAATCAATTCTCTTTTTTATGCTGTTCATCGTCCTCACTACTCATCCTTACGCCTTCATTACTCTAAATATGTTTGCATTCCATCTTCTGCTGATGGTTTTTCTCCGCAAACGGTACATTCTTCATTTTTTTATTCAACTATTTCTGATTGGAATAATCTCCCTGAGTCAGTTATTCGTCTTTCTTCTTTAATGTCTCTCAAAACAGCTTTACTTCAGTATCTGTTAAGTAATCTGTTAAGACTTCAGCATGCTTCGTCTTTCAGCAACTACTATATTTTATTTTTTTTCAACAAAAGTTATTTAGTTCTAATCAATAATTGAATCTACAAATATTCTGCTGGATTTTTAGACTTTTCTGAATATGCATTTTTGTTTGTTTTAGATGAGTGAAGCGAAATTAACTGGTGAAGTTAGTAAAATCGATAAAAGTATCGATCGTGTTCGCACCTGTCCATTATTATTAAGAGTATTTTGTAGCAATCATAGACATCATATGTCAAGGTAAATATTCTTTATTGATTCATGCTAGAAAAACGTGGAGTTCTGGTGTATAGCTGAACAGGTTTTCTTTGTTCTTTAACGAGCAAGAGCTCAATTTGAATGAAAACATCATTCGAAAGCTGTAGTTTTCGGACTTTTTCATCATTCTTGCTGTATATGCTGTTGAATTCTTTTTTTCTTTCTATTGTAGTGAATATGAACAAGGTAATACACCTGAGAATGAGCTTCAAATATACACATGGATGGATGCCACGTTATCTGAATTGACATCATTAATTAAAGAAGTCAATCCCGATGCTCGTCGTAAAGGTACACAATTTTCATTTTCAATCGTTTATCCAGAAGAACATTATCAACGTTATCGAATACAAGAAATTGGCGTTACCGAACAAGGTGTTAAACGGTCAGATGATAATATTCCGTTGTCAGCTAAACGCTTTACTGTTGGAGATTATTTAGGTAAGAATATTAGAAACAACATTTTATGCATGATTTTATAGAGTAATGTAAGGATTGAGCTATTAGCTATAAGTTTTTTCCCCTTGTTTCTGAATTGCATTTTTTCTTCTGCTTAGATGTTGCTATCATTCATGGTGGAAATGATCGAAGAATGAATAACAACAATAACTCTCGAGATGAAACAAATAATCGTGATGGAATGGGGCGTGGCGGTGGATATCGCGGTGGAAGAAGTGGACGTGGGGGTATGAATGATCGGGATCGAGGAGATCGTACGGATCGAGATCGTGATAATAACAGCAGTACTAATAATAATGATCGATCTGATCGTCAACGCGATAGAGGCGGTGAACGAACTGGCAGCGGACCGATCATGAGACAACCTAGAGATCATCGAGATCGACCGTATTAGCATATACGTGTTTGTGTGTGTGTGTTTTTGTAGAAAATAAGGCAAAATCTGTGTTGAAAGCGACATTGCTCTATCGTTTGTGTATATGTTTTCTTAACACGGTATGGTCAACAGAAATTTTTTACACGATGTTGTTTTGTTTACTTTGTGTATTTCAAAGAATGTATTTGTGTTGTTTTAAATATACATGAATCAATTTGTTTTTAAAACCACATTTTTATTTTTACGTGTCCTTAGTCATTCTTAAATAAAATATTGTTATAAACATAATTTCAATTTGATCTGTTTCTGTTTATAGATCATAATAAGTGTTTGGTTTTCTTCAAGTACCATGTGAAAGAATATTAGAAATTTTCAGGTATTTGCATTGTGTGATCACATCGAATCGCTTTATGGTTTTAATTCACGTTTAAATTCAATAATCATTTCTCTATCGCAAATGTCAGTACTACTCAAATCACGTTCAAACGAAAATGGTTAGAATATCGATATCCAATTGTTCCACATATTGCGCATCAATTATATTCGTTAACACTTTCGAATGAAAATACAACGGGGACAGCGATTTAATATTTAACATAAAATCTGTTCAAGAATTGAGATCATTGGGATTGATCGATATAACGACAAATGATCTCAAATCTACTCTGTTACAAATATTATCATTAAAAGAGCTCAAGTATTAATTAATAACGTTGTTAGAACCAATGACAAACGAAATGTATAAAGTCTTATTATGTCGTGTTCCAATCTACACAGTAGCCAAATTATATGATCGAAAGTCGATTTCCACATCAATCGTGCCAATATTACATTCAAAACTAATGTATCTTAAATGTAAGTAATGTATCTTATAGTATATCTAATCAATAACAATAATTTTGTCATTATTCTATTTTAGATTTGTTGGTGCATCATCAATTGAATGTTTGACATTGGCTGTTGAACGTTTCAATCATTTTTTTGATTTTTGTCTCCATCGTTTTCTTCGTCTATTATCCTTGTTAATGACTATTAAAACGACTATCGAAATTTTTACTTACAACCATCATTGTCCATGTTATCTTTTAAAAGATTAAAATTAAATACTGACGGATATTTACCATTTTGTTCTAGACGATTCTAACAGACAAGCTGTTTTTCGGCTGTAGTATTAAGTTTTCTGTTCAAAACCGTTCCAAAACCTTAAAAAATATTTTTGCGTAGGTTTTAGAGCATGCGCTTTCATTTGAACGGATCAAAAAAGTTTTTCATTGCGAAAAACCAGTTTTTCAAAAACCCGGGGTCTCCAAAGACGCATTGGCAAAAACCATCGTCATATTCGGAATCAGCATGCTCGGTTACCCATTGTCCACTAAGTTTTACGTCAAAAGCGATTTGACAATCGGGGGCCTTCCCTCGTAAGCTCAAAAAGCAGTCTGATTTTTTCAACGTGAAATCAGCAGCAACAAGTAATGGAAAGGAAATTCAAAAATGAACACTGTCAAATTTTAGATTTAGATGTGTAGTTCAGTTTTCAACAAATCCGATCTTTAGAACGAAAGATATTTGATTCCCAAGAGTTTTCTTCGAATCAAATACAAGAAAAAAGATTTCATGGAAGAGGAGCGGTGGTTGTTCAAGCGGTCACCGTCTGATGTTGAATGTTATGTTTATGATGTGCTGAAGGGAAAACGACTTTGTTCCTTGACGAAACTTGACAAACAATATAGTATCTGAATTTAAGAGAGAGTTGTAGATATGAGTATCGATCGATCACATTTTCATTCGAAAAAAGCTGTATGAAAATACCCATAATGTCTCAATTTTATGAAAACTATTTTTTTACAATAAAACTTCTCATAGATCTCTTGTTCACCAACTTCATTTTGACTAATGATTAGAAGAGTACAATGATGTATCACTTGAAACGCAGCATCCATTCTTCCTTTCGTCTTCTCATTTCGCCAAACCTAACAAGATCTAACAAATTTAAGATTTGTTCTAGAAACGAAACATATTCTCTCAACTTGAACATTTTTTATTATCAATCGTGAAAGTACAAAAGATTGAGTATTTAGGTAAAATGAAAGAGAGTTTAGGAATTAATATTTTGGGCCTGGGTCACAGTTTGCAATTTTGACTTGTGATGCGGACATGTGCTATAACTTCTTAAAAAAAAGCATTCGGGAGTTTAGAAAGGTACTTTCTTTAGATTTTCATATATTTTTTTAAATATACCGATGAGCAAGAGAAAAAGAATATTTTAACTATAATTTTTTTTCGACAACACTTATGTTACAATCTGCTCAGTTGTAGATAAGACAAATCTATTTCCACTATCCGAACGTTTCCGTATGGATGAAACTCATACGTATGAGTGTATTAGCCAAAATTTGCTAATTTTTCCTTCAAAACATGTTGCACCGATATGAAAATTTGTCATTCAAAATGTAAAACATCAGGAGTATCAGAAACTTTTATGAAGTATTTCATAGTTTTTTACGTCATACCCATGCAGACGTCAACTTTCAACCGACTAATAGTCCAATTACTCTATTTTCAACGTTAATTCAAACAAATACACAGATAATATGAATCGATTTCGAAGGGAGGTAATCCAAATACAATACACAATGGAAATACAGCAAAGTCGGTGAAAATAAGGCTAGCGCTTTACTATCGTTATCTCAATGGTTTTTCGAACCACCAAGAACTTCTATCAGACACCAAAAATTCTTGCAATGTTTATCTACGTTGCTAACAAAATTATGATTTGCATTTCACTCTTTTCTGACACGATAAACTCTCTCAAAAAGAAAAAAATCTGTTTGACACTGACGAGATCAATGTTGAGTTTTGCCAGTCAGCAGTGAAATTGTAGCTCCATAACTCTCGTATTTTTTTATCTAAATCCCTTATTCAAAATTTTGTGGGAGATTAGGGCTGTTCACAAGAATAATTATTAGCAGGAAGTATCATTCATTTCCCATGTTCAATAATGGGAGTAAATTGTTTGAATAGATTGTTGATGAGAATCGTACTGTTGAGTTCTGTGAATCGTACAGATCTTTTCTCAACCTTCTCGTTTGGGTTCAGATGTAAATGTTTTACAATAGCTTTTCACTATATGACCATCAAATTAGAAAATGATGATGCACGAAATACGAACACCTTGTCGACACCATTTTGGATTCCGTCACAGTATTTAGCTGTGTCCTGCACTATCTTCTACCATTAGTACTTTCTTTAGCACAGATAAGCGAGACACTTCTGACCACCAGTTAGCCTCAAATGATGTCCTCCTGTCCTATCATGAGTGTGTGTATGTTTCAAGGCAGTACACTCTGAGTCTTACTCGTTCGTTCAATTTATATAAATGATTTTCAGCAAAAATCCAGACTTTCTTAGATCGTATCAGGACTTGCATATTTACTGACTCATGGGAAACGAACAAAGCGATTGCCATGACAGCTCCTTTGTCCGTCCTCCATGAGTTACTAAATATGCGAGTCCTGAAGCGTATATCGAAAGGATATTTTGAAAATTTTGATAATTTAGATATCAAAAATGTGTACATACGTTTCTGTAAGAGTATGGATGAAAAAGAAGAAATTGATGGCAGACGAAATCGATTTTTTTTGTGAAGAGTAGATGAAGATACCAGTGGTCAATCTATTCATAGAGTGCAGTTTTTAGAAATAAGCGAAATCTTAACATTTATGATTATTTCTATCTGTCGAAATTATTTTTTACTGTTTCGTTATGAAAAACTCAATATAAGAAACCAACTTTCATCAAATTAAAGCTTAAAATAACGAAAAAATTATTGAAAGACGAGCGGAATCGTTGAATGGTCGCAGTCCATCTTCTGAACCTATCTAGTTTTCTGATTGGAAGACTAAGAGTCGTTCTTATTCCATTCTAACCACTATATCTTGTGGGAAAAAAGTATGCATCGATTTTGATCATGGGGAAAAGCCACTTTTAAGTGGGAACGCTTTGGGAGAAAGTAACTTTTAAGTGAAAACAAGGTGAAAAAAGTAAAAGTAGTAGCTGAAAAATGGGAAAAGTGGGGTGGCCATGTACAGTGGCTATTTTTTTAATAAAGTAATGAAATTTCTATATACATTATATCAAAAATAAAAACAGTTTATTTCTTAATTTGTAAACGAATCGGTCCTCTTGCTTTTTCGATATCGGTAATTTGTCCTTGTTGTATACAAACTAATAAATTTTCATTAATTAGTTTTTTAGCTTCATCACGAACGGGTTGCATTAACTCTCTCCAACCTTCATCTTTCTCACCATATAATTGTCGTGCCACTTCAGATGGACAAAATGTTTTTGTTAAACCACGTTTTTCACCAAATTTTAACAGAGAATCTCGAATGGCTATTGAATCTATTCTTACAATAGACATCTAAAATAATATTTATAGAATCAGCAATGTAGCGATAAAATGGTTGAAAGCAAGTGACATTTCATTCGAGAGCAAACTAATGACATTTATTTGTTAGATACAGTCTTCATTCACTTCTGTTCTTGGTTATTTTCAATATGGTTGAATTAATTTCACCAATATCTGTACGTTTCTTTTTATTTATTTCATATAACAGTATAAAACTCTGAACGTTATTTTCTCCTGGTCACCATTCTTCAATTCCTCTGTTATATTCTCACTATTTTCTTTTCTAACTCTTCAATTTACTATTTGTGTTTAGGTATGCAAAAGTTATGGTTAACTGTAACTGTAAAAACTTCACCGCTAAAACTGGTACATTTGATTATCGAAATTGATCATAACTGTCAGAAAAAAATTTATGCATAAAAGCAAAATTTTTGATCTTTTCAAATTCGAAAATAATTTTTTAATAAGTAGAGAGAATAAAGGTTGGAATGAGATTCTTAAAACAAAGAATGAATTCGTCTATCATAGAGAAATAAGACCTATGTATCATTATTTCTTTATCTAACGGAAATTTACCTGATATTCTTTTCTCTGCTCAGACCGGATCTGTTGTTTTTTTTTTGGCTTTAAGCGATAAGAAAAGTATATGACAATCTTACAGTTTAGCAGCTACAGTTAACTGCAACTGGTGCAAACCTATTTGTGTTCTCAAATTCTAAAATTTAATTATTTTCTTGCGCATTAATTAATAAATTGCGTTTAATATCCCACACTTCTTAATATTTGCATTGGAGCACAACACATACTGCTCAATTTTATTTTCTCTCGTGCTAAATGAGTTAGACAAAATGTGTTTTAGTGCACTTTCGTTTCAAGAAATCGTCGATTGTTCGCATATCGTACAGTTAAAAGTCACACTCGATTTTTCTTCATTGAGAGATAGAAGCAGCCTTTAATTGCAAAACACTTTTCCTGAGTATCTGGTGAGCGTGCAGTGAGCAACATTTTGTGAAACAGAGAATGTGCTCGTTTTTCGATTTTCGTTCGTAAGGGTCCATCGTTTGCCATGCAAATTACTTTTTTTTAAACGGCCTAATTTGTACTTTAGATTGCTCATTAGTGGACTCAAGTTGAAAAAAGGCCAAGGGTCAATTTGAATGTAGCTATCAGCATATTCTTTCTTTTATTGATGACATGGTATTTGGAGTTTATTGTTAATAACTTGGCTCTATTTACATTCGCATTTGACGTTTGAATTTATTCAGATGAACTTATTTTTATTTGAAACAGAGAAGGACAAGTCTGACTACTTCTGAGTTCAAGTTCGTCAAAAGAGTTCTCGACTCTGGGCTTTTGAGATATTTTATCTTTAGAAATATATTCATAATAATTTTGTATATGTGAACTTTATATATTCAAATCTCGAATCATCTATTCAAAATAGAATCATATTAATACTCATAGAAAGGTTTTAAAGATAGCGGGAACCCATAGGGAAAAATTAAACGTTTAAAATTAAAAATATTATTTTGGTTGTTGATCTTTGTCTTTTGAATAATCAAATATATGAGAATAATGGACAGATTTCACTACTTACGAGGGAACCGCCCCAGGTGCCCAATTTCAATTTCCTTCATTCATACCTCGTTTTATAGAGCACATCGAGCTGGTAAAAAGCCTAAAAGGATTTTTACCCATGGCTCTTGAAGTCTCGGTTTTCTACAAAACCAGTTTTTGAGAAATTCTGAAAAATAATTAAAATCTTTCATAATGAGGCATAATTGTAGCCCGCACATTTCTGATTAAAATGAGACGTCTTCCAGCTCTACATGACCTTTCTCTGCAAAGTTACAGAATTTACAAGAAAAGCCCTAAATGTTCATTGTCAGCTCAAAGCTGTAGAAATAAGAAGAAATTAAGTTAGGACTTTTCTTGTAAATTCTGTAACTTTGCAAAGAAAGGTCATGTAGAGCTGGAAGACGTCTCATTTTAATCAGAAATGTGCGGGCTACAATTATGCCTCATTATGAAAGATTTTGATTATTTTTTAGAATTTCTCAAAAACTAGTTTTGCAGAAAACCGAGACTTCAAGAACCATGGGCAAAAATCCTTTTAGGCTTTTTACCAGCTCGATGTGCTCTATAAAACGAGGTATGAATGAAGGAAATTGAAATTGGGCACCTGGGGCGGTTCCCTCGTTAGATTTCTAAATTGTTGCCGAAATCTAAGACTATAAATGAAGTGTATCGTCTATACATTATTGACAAGATGAATGACGAAAATAAGTTCAAGGTAAAATATATTGATCATTTATTTAATCAGATAATGGATTTATTTCTGCTTTAGCCGAATATGAAGTTTAAAATAAAAACCTAAGATACTGTAATATTTCACTAATGTAGACTACAGATTTTGAATTTAAGATAAGAATTGGACTAAAACAAATAAACAAACCATCGATATTTAAAAATTTCTTTTATTATTTCAAATGAACGATGTAAACAAATAACGAAGAATAAAGGAAAAAGACATATATTATGTTTATAAATAATCATAGTGTCACCAATTAAATTGGTTTATAATCAAATTTTGTTTCTAATTTTTTATTTTCTGCCACTTTTCGTACAGCTTTCATGAAATCTTCTTCCATAATATAATCACGTTCAGCACGAATAGCAAACATACCTAAAACCAAGTACAATCGGTTAAAGATATAGATGTTGTATTTATGTCTTTTTAAGCAGCAATTGAAGGGTTTTTTAATTTACTCAAAGAAACATGAATAATACTCACCAGCTTCTGTACACACGTTTCTCATATCAGCACCATTAAAACCATCTGATAATTTAACAATTGCTTCATAGTCTAAACAACGGACGATAGAAGCAGAAAACTGTTTACTGTTCCACTAGTTATTCTCTACTTACCTAAATCTCCTCGTTTCGCGATTGGTGCAGCATGAATTTTTAATATATCAAGCCGTGCTTGTTCATTGGGCAGCGGAATTTCTGAACGAAAACAACAAATATTAGATGTATTAGTACTATAGCATTCTTAGACAATTGTACAAATTACAGTCGAAAGTAGCACTAGTTAATAATCGTCTTCACTTCAATAGTATCATATAGAACTTTAAAGATTTTGGAAGATGATTATAGTTAATGAGGTAACAGTCGGCGATAAATTACACTCTCCATATTCTTGTACACGTTACAGTGCTTAAACTCAAATCAACCGACTAATACTAAAACTTTGACGTTATTCATTATCCACATCTTACCCCGACGTCAAGTTTGTTTATTCTCTACTGAAGTTATTTATTGACAGAGTTAGCACGAAATTTTTCTCTAAGAATGAGAAAACTAATAAAACCTATATTCGTACTGTGACGGCACATGCTCTTACCAATTTTTCTATCTAATCTTCCCGGTCTCATTAGGGCAGGATCTAATGTGTCCGGTCGATTCGTTGCCATGATCATTTTAACTTTACCCAATGTGTCAAAACCATCCATTTGATTCAAAAGCTGAACAAACAAATATAATTTTGTACAATGTCAGATATTCTTTCATCTTTAAAGACAAAAACTTACTTCCATTAATGTACGTTGAATTTCACGATCAGCTGATGTACCTTCAGAAAATCTTCGACCACCTAAAACAAGCACACTCCATAACTATTTTCTAAAAAGAACCCCAGAAAACATTACCAATTGCATCGATTTCGTCCATAAATATAATACAAGGTTGATGGTCTTTTGCATAGGCAAACATTTCACGAATCATGCGAGCACTTTCGCCGATATATTTGTCAACTATGGCACTTGAAACAACCTAAAAGCAGGTGAATAAATGCATATTGAAAGCTCTATCTAATAATACATCTTTAAAATCAGATATATCATTAAAAATATAGTCTGTTATCAATAAAAAAAGCAGTGAAAAGTGATGTTAAAGCAATATAACACATTTTCATTCGTTTTGTCATGTTTTTAAATAAATAAAGCAATTGTAACGACAACACTTTCGTACATACTTTAAGAAAATTACAATCTAATTGACTTGCAACAGCTCTTGCTAACAACGTTTTCCCAGTACCTAAAGAAAAAATAAGAATAAGATGAGAAGTGGTAAGTATATAATAACTTACCTGGTGGTCCATATAGCAAACATCCTTTTGGTGGTGTGATACCAACACGTTCAAATAATTCTGGATTTGTCAATGGTAATTCAACGACCTCAATAAAGCTCACTCTCTATAAACGACTGCATACTTCTACAATGACTACATACTTCTCTTAATTCTCTAATTTGTTCTGATAAACCACCGACTTCTGAATAAGACACATTGCCTGGATCTTCATGTGACATATTGTAAACCAATGGATCCACTTCGCGAGGTAAGTATCTTGAAAAAAGGAAGAAAAGAATACAACTATCAAACATATGTACAGTTTCACACTGTTCTAACCTCATAATTGTTAATGTTGTCATATCTAATGCTACTCTAGTGCCAGCTCTCAATTTCGTTTTATTTAACTGACGGCGACAACCGACAACATAACGTGGACCATTTGTGGCTTTAACAATAACTGAAACAGGAGCAAAAAAATAATGACAATTAATTTCATCATCAAAAACAAATTTCTCTAAAGTCTGTCTCTATCTCTTGTTCAGTTCATCAACTTTAGATTATGTTACCTAAACAAACAACATAATTTGTTTTCGCATAGAAAATATATGCTTTTTATCCTGTCACTCTGTAAGAGAGAACGAGTAATATGCTTAACAGATATAAAAGTAAACTTTTGTTGGAATTAAAAAAACAACACAAAATATTTCTGAAAACGATTGTCCACACGTGACAACAAGCAATAAGAAAAATATATTCTCCAGTCGCCATAACTTAGCACGAAAGATACAGTCACATGGCTTCACTGGCAGAATTCCTCAACATGTTCAATAATTCCGCTCTCTTTTGGGGATGAAGTGTTCCCGATGTATCGTTCAGGAGTTAGAAATGGATCGGCGTACTGTATTTTAAACCAGTTAATTAACTTATAATCATTCTGTTATACCTTTAACTTTCGCTGCTTGTGGACGCCTAACTACCATTGCTCTGAATAATCAATAATTATAATAATCGGTGTAATTAATAAGAGCGGTCTGAACTATGTGTGCACCGACAGTGAGGCACTTTATTCTATAAGATCCCGACTATAATCAAGGAAGCAGTACCCTTATAGCGTTAATAAGAACCAGAGAAACGTACTGATGAACCTTTTCTGACAGAAGGTATTTGGAAAGAACCATTTTCTAAGTCATAGCGAAAGATGAGGACCGATATACGTAGAAATTATTATATCTGTTTCGACAGAAAAAACTAAGCTAGCGTTTGTTCTGTTTCTTATTAAAAACAATTAATTTTTTCACTTACATTTTTCTTCAGTTAATTGTTTTAATACTTCGCCAACAATCTAGAAAGAATTAAGGATAAACAAACTTTATAGTCGATTACTTAATTTCTATGTTGGAAGACTCACTTGTCCGACACTTTGCAGTGCTTTTAAATCATTTTCACTTTTATCGAAATCTTTTGTTAACGAACGTAGGTCTTCACGCACTACAGAAAGGAAGATAAATAAGCAGTGCTTGATTGGCGTGTGAACGGTATTATTCTTACTTTGTTTTAATCTTGCTTCAATTTCTTTATGCTCCATAATTTTTTTTCGAAAATCTTCTAAAGCTTTTTCGCGTGGGTTTGCTGTTGTAGTTCCTAATGAACCTGAGACCTGAGATGTTGGAACCGTTGTAACCATGTTTGTGAGTTATAGATGCAAGTATCTACAAAAAAAGTGAACACAAAGATACATTATGAACTAGTTCAAACGTTTTTCTGACGAATATATGCAGTGTTTTCGAAAAAACGTTTGGCGTGTCACTTCGTAATGAGAGATCATAGCCTTCTTTTCTGTGAACGGGATGTAGTATTAAAAAGGAAATTCAAACCTTATGCGTACAAATAGTGGACATAAAGTGGTAAATCAACGTAAACTCACGTCATTCCAAGTATGTTTGTATTCTTTCTCGTGTTAGCGGATCTCTTCTCAAATAATACGTTCGTCTTTCTTTTGATTCACAGTCACCCACTGGAATAATCTTCCTGAATCGATCATCCGTTGTTTGTCTTGAAAAAGAGAAACAACGGATGACTTTCTAAATTCCTATTTTCTTAATGTTAAAAAACGACTTTCTACCAGTTTTTCTCGTTTATTTATTTATTTGTTTTATATAGTTCTTCCTTTTCTTCTTCTTTCTCAGTTAGCAACTTGTTTTTTATTTGCTTTTATCTGTTTATTTATTTGACGATTCGCGTTAAAGGACGCGAACCTTTGACGATCTCTTACTTTACGTGAATAAACTCATTCATTGAACTAGTGACTTATATCTAACTTTCACATCTACCGTCTTCTGACCTAGAAACATCAAGCGTAGTAATAGTGTTCAAAGTACAATACACGCGAAAGTTAAATGTATTTGTTGATTGCATTTCGTTGATTATACTAATGCGACTGTCAGTAGCTTTCACGCCGTATACATACATACACTTGGTAAATTTTTTATGAGTCAGTCAATCAGTCCTAGACGTGAACAGCCTCACAGCCAATACAAAAATAAACCATACCCTCATTAAAGTAAGGATTTTAGGAAATACGATAGAATTTTATTTGTAGATAAAATACAAAACTATTGCATCTCGTTGAATACTACAGAGACTATACTATACAAGAAAATATATAATAATGATGGTGTCGCTCTGGTTATCAGCCGAAATTATTGCCGAGAATAGTAGCACTTTTTAAACACAACGTCATCTTCTAATCATTCTGAACAAACTTTCAAAGTGCATCACCTTGTAAAAAACAGTTCAGCTGTTTTTAGATCGAAAATACGAAGACAGTTATTTCTTTATAAAAATCTGTTTTAGTTGGATCAACAAACCGGACACCACTCAACACATTAGAAAAATACTTTAGGCATTAAGCACGTATCTACAGGTTACTTCCAATTTAAGAACAAAAACTACGTGAGCAGTTTCACATAAAATCGACTTACACTTGAGCGACAAAATGGAAATGAAAACATACAAAAGCAGGCTCGCTTGAGAATTGACTTTAGTGCCCTACAGGTTACGAGGTTTTAACAACCTATAATCTATCCTCTGAAAAGCTTCACAACCCAAGCCTAAGTTAACCTAATATAACCTATGTAATTTTTTCCCAAAATTTGGTTTCAGAAGCTTAAACTTCAGCTTTATTCCAGAGGAATCATGGAGGTACGCCAATAGGACCAACTAGACGTTCGTCAATTGTCGAAGGTCCACTTCGTTTAAAAAAAAATACAACTTGCATTGACGATGTAACTGAATTATTGGCAAAATACCATGGATTGTATTGGTGAAAGTTTAGTGTACTTTCGTCAATGGACAAAAATACATTGGTGGTACTGCCGAAAGTCATATTGACGTACCTCTCGATTCCATTACAGATCGTTATTTTTTCTTATCTAGACTGTGTGATAGAAAAAAATAGCAAAAGCTTCTACAAGATACATCACATTTTAAATGAATAAAGAAATGAATCGCTTCAATTTTTTATTCTTTAATGCAACGTTTTGAAAATAGCTTTCTGAGTAGAGGGACCACCTTAAGAGTAGAACAGAATTTTACTTTAGGCTGTCAACCCGACGAAGGTTTTGCTATTGTTGCGTACTCGCCGTCCATTTTTCGCAAACGTAAGTTTTTTCTCTGTACTTCCTTTTTTGATTGTGTCATTTCAATTTAAAAATATTGCAGTTTAAACTAGAGAGCCTCAGTCTGCACTTTATAAATTGACTGATAAAGTTCCACCTAACGGTTTCAGAATTACATCCGTTCGACTAGTACCCTAGACATCGATTCTTATATAAGAATCTTCCCAGAAACACCTGAGTCTCTTACCAGTGTCTTACAAGATTTTTATCGGAATCTAATCAGTTTCTTATATAAGATTGTTTAACATTTCTCATCCACAGTCGTAGGTATCTTATAAGAATCTTATAAGGTTTTCAGAAGAGGTTCGTAAGAAATTCATAAGAAGTACCAAAAATTCTTTTGAAGTTTTTCAGCCAATAGAAGCAACTCGTCAACCGACGTTTGAGTGACCGACATTTGAGCGACTCCGCACTTTAGACACTTTTCAATATGACTTTTTGCCGATCAGGAGAGTCGAATGATTATTCACTTCGATAACGTTTAATAACGATGACGAGAACAATCTTTTTGTTGTCGGATGATGAACTGAATTATATGGAGATCTGTAGAGGGTGAGGCTGTTTGGGGTAAGGGTGAGTGAGGGGGAGGAGGAGCAGCTATAAGTGATGCGCTTCGCTCAATTGTTAGAGTCATTCAAATGCGGTCCGACACTTGAGCGACCGGCACTTGCGCGACCGACATTTGAGCGACCCCGACTCTTGAGCGACCGACATTTGAGCGACACTTTTCAATATGACTTTTTGCCGATCAGGAAAGTCGAATGATTATTCACTTTGATAACGATTAATAACGATGACGAGGATAATCTTTTTGTCGTCCGATTATGAACTGAATTATTTGGAGATCTGTAGAGGGTGAGGCTGTTTGGGATAAGGGTAAGTGAGGGTGAGGGTGAAGGTGAGCAGCTTTAATTTATCCGCTTCGCTCAATTGTTGGAGTCCTTTAAATGTGCGTCGCTGAAAAGTCGGTCGCTCAAATGGCGGTGTCGCTGAAATGGCGGCGTCGCTCAAGTGTCGGTCCCTCAAATGTTGGTCGGTCGAATGTTGGGGGCTCAAATGTCGGGGTCGCTCAAATGTCGGTTAATCAAGCAACTTCATCATGAGAGAAATCACCAAACTTCTCCTTGAACTTCTCCCATACGTTCTCGTGTGGATCCATCCGGACCTCTGAGCAGCCATTAATTCCAAAAATGAGAACAGCTGTCAGGAGTTAAGTTAAAAATAGGTTACCAATATCGTAACCTACAAACGAACCTATAGAAAATTTCATAATCAGAGTAAATTAGAATGGTCATCCCTTGTTTTATTTTATCCTATGAGTGTTTAAACCATTACTCTTGGCTTGTACATTTTAGGAAATGTATCTGTTGTAGCACAACTATATGCAAACATGCCATTTATTGTAATATCGTTTACGGAATCATCGATCCGATTGTACAATTATTTGATCTCACAACAAGATACCACATTGCCGTGGAATGCAATTGGCAAAAAACTTAGCAACTTACGTTGTAACTTTGATGTATTTATTTCAAAAGGGAAACAGATTTTTAGTTGAAATAGTACATTTTTTCATTTGACTTTTATTATACTACATTTATGTTACGTTTTTTGTTTGCTATAAGATGAGTGATCGAACTTTGTTTATGTTTCTTTGTAGATATTGTTTAACCAAAAAGTATTGTAAATCTGTACACTTGCTAAACCTCAACTTTTTGGAAAATTTATTGAAATAAATTTTTTTAGAAAAAAAGCAGACGCCGAGTGCACAAGATTAACTCTTGTAATAGACTACTGCTATCCAGTTAGTTTAGTTTAAGCTTTTTATTTAAAGAAATCAAAAAAAAGGAAACAAGTAAAGAAGACCAAACAAGTGAAATCGTTGTCCTAGGGACTACATTGTATCTCCTGAGAGGAATCCTTAAACAGAA